ACCTGCAGGGAGGTGTACGGCACCGACACGGGCTGGATGGTGGAATGTGGGATGACCAATTTCATTGGGTTACTAGTAGTAGGCAAGTGGTGAAATGAGACCTGTTAGAATTGACTGAGTCCTGAATACCACATCACATGATCTTGCTCTCATACACAGCCTACAATTATCTCAAGGCTCCTTGCATCAACCGCCACTACGCAGGGATTTTCGTGATTTCACCGCATCTGATTGGACAAAATTGGACAATTTTGAATTCGCAACCTAGCGAATTCCAAAAAGAGACAGACACATGAAAAATAAAAATTATCAATACAAACTTGAAGATATATTTAATTGAAACTATACAATTTCAGAATTATTTATGGAATTCGCAAGGCTGTACCCAAGTCGCTTTATATCGCTTTATATTGGTCAAAAATATCCAATTATCTAGTTCTAGCCAATTAAACAAATCAAAGTAGAAGAAGTAACCAATCCGAACGCATTGGAAAGAAATCAGACCACCTTATTGAGTTGTATCCATTTCGATCAGATTTTACTGACATTTTCGGGGGTACAGATCCATAAGGTATACTGTACGGTAGTTGGGGATATGACGCGGCTTCCGCCACGTTGCATTTTCCGTTGTGCCACGATGCAGGCGAATGTAGCCACCGCTCTTACATCAGCTAACGCCCGGCGAGCACTTGACCTTGAACGACCCGTCATCGTACCCCACAGCAATCGCGGCATGGTCCAATTGCACACCCGGACACGTGGACACGACACTGTTTCAGTAGTTTTGCCAAACCGAGTTTCCAGCTTCGATCACCACCGCCACGGGCTGTTCGTTCAACGCCGGGAAGGGTGTTTTCACGCGTGTCTTTTTCAACGGCCACTTTAAGGTATGCGGGGAATTGCGCGTGTTAATCTTCTGAGATGCCTAAGCTATTATGTTGAAGAATTAAGACGGCTACCACAAACATGGCCCATGGCATCTCCAACCATGGCGTCGTCATCTAATTACTCTATCTTGCCACTCGTCCACAAGACGATCCATCTCAGTTGCTTATGTCATATATTGAGGACACCCCAGGCGCTCAATCTACCTCGACACCAAAACATATCCTCCTTGCCCTCAAGGACAAGACTCTCTCAGTGGAGACTACGACCTACAAACAGGCGATGAAGTCGCCAGTCAAAGCGCAATGCCTTCAAGCCATGATGCTCGAGTAGGCAGCCCATGAGGTAACGAGTCGTTCGTAGCGGCCACCCTGCCTCTAGATGTGATACTACTGTGTATACATTCACGTGGTGTTCAAAATCAAAAACGAAGACTCGGCCATTGAGGCTACGACACGCGTCGTTTTTGTGAACATCCTAATTTTGATAAAACCGTTTTATACCTAAGGGCCCGTCTAGAAGCCACCCTAAAAAATGATGATATTGCAATAATGTGTATTCTGCATTTTTTGAAATACAGAAAACCACATAACTTCATTATGCAATATTTTTATTTGGTGGACTGTCTGGATGCCATGTGATTGGACAATAACATAGGAGAATTGGAAAGAACGGTCAAGATTTCAAAAAGCATGACCGACCAGCGCGCAAACTGGACCGACGAGAAGGATGCTACCTGGATGACCGAGATGATCTACCAAGTGGTAGTCCTTGGCAAACGTGCAAACAGTGGGTTCAAGAAGGAGTCGTGGCAGGCAGCATCGAGTAAACTCAACATCGAACACCGCGTTAACTACACGAAGGTCCAGCTCAAGACCAGGAATGCAGAAATGAAGAAGCAGTATGCTCAAGTGTCGCAAATGGTACATACATCAGAATCGGCTTCGAAGCAGCCACATGTCGGTTCGTGTGCACGGAGGGATCGTGGCAACATTTCCTGGAAGGGAAACCAAGACGATGGGCGTTGTGGGGGACAAAACGCTTTCCACAGTATCTGCACTACCAGCAGCTCTATGACGGAACACTTGTCACGGGAGAGTATGGATCATCAACAACACAACAGCAAAGCATGACCAGCTCAATCGAGGATGGTGACGATCAACACAGTGATGCTAATATCGACAACGACGTCGCGGATATGGATTTCATGGACAACATTTCCGACAACTCTGAGGCAAGTCAAGTAGAACTCAGTTCTGGAAAGCCAGCGAAGCGATGCGTGCGGGTAAGTGGCGCTGGGTTGTCAAAACGTGTCAGACCGTCGTTGGTGTCCACCATGACTGCTCAACTTAAACAGCTTCAGGACTACGGGCATAAAGAAATGTCAGTATTTGTGAACGCAGTGTGTGTGAGGACAACAGTGGGGACAACTGCGGGGACAATTGTGGGTACAAGTGTGGGGACAAGTGTGAGGACGTTATAAATGAAACTCAAATATCAAATAAAATTTCGACTATATCTATTATGGCTCGCTCGAAGAGTTATTTGATATTGATACCACATATCTTGGGCAATTTCGTCACGCTATGTCTTTGCTTCCGAGCTTTCGAGCGCCTCATTGAATAGTGGCATGTCGCTTGAGTCCATTGGCTGCTCATTTTGCCGTCGGATTTCGTCAACGACTACTTTCTCCAAACTGTCGTTGCCATGGCGTCGAATAAAATTGTGAAGCAATCAAAGCGCAAGGACCAAGTCGACTTGGAATTTGTAGTTGTACTCCACAGGGCATACGAGGACCGGAAATCGCTTCTTCAGGATGCCGAAGATCCTCTCCACGACGTTCCTCAACTGAGCGTGCCGTAAATTGAAGAGCTCTTCCTTTGATTGAGGACGCTGGCGACCACGAGCAAACTTCTTCAAATGATAGCGCTTTCATCGACACGGTGTGAGGGCCTTCGTTGTGAGAGCAAATCCAGCATCCAATATGTCGAACTTTGCATCGTCGATGTGCAGCCCCATACGCAAAGCTGCATCGTACAATTTGCCTTCGCCGGCTGTTCCTTCCCATTCGGCCATGACGAACGTGAAATTCAAATCGAAACCGCATGCCGCAAGGACGTTCATTGTCACGCCTTTTCGACTTTAGAACCGGGAGACATCGCACGCCTGCACACGGACTGGAATATAGGTCCCATCGATAGCCATACGGCAATTCAGAAAAAAATGGGAGAACTTGGGATTGGGATGAACAGCCGCGCCAGGTTGTGGGATGCGGA